AATTTTTAAATATAATTTCAGTCGTTATTCTCATACTTTGATTCATTTACATATAAAACAACAATGATAATACCTTTAGTTAAGAAGCTAAATGTAATATTTGTTTCAATTTGAAGTTTTTATCAAGCTTAAGTGTGGTATAATTGCTTTCAGCCTGGTGTTTACTGGTGTTTACAGTCTTTTTCTGTTTCTCTCCTTCCATCCAGCTTCTTTGTTGTCGAGGACCACGTCCTTCACACCACACAGGGTTTGGTGAACAGAGCCTACGTGGAGGAGCTTTGGGAGCTGGCGCTGTCCAAAATCGTTGCTGCCTTGAGGACACACTCTGTAAGTTGAATTAAAACTCACTGATGATAAAAGGCCAATCCCATTCCACCCCCTGCCCCAATCCCTTAAGGCCAAAATATAGTCCAACATGAAGGCTGCTCCCATACTCCACGAGAAGTAAAGAAGTCTCGTTTTGCGGACGTAGATGTGAGACATTCATTACGGCCTGGACATTTCATACTCCACAAGAACTCCAGGGAATCCTCTCCCCTTCGGGTTTTCACTTTTCCTTTCTTGAATAGATTTTGATTTCCTTATCACAGTCAGAAAACAGTGGCCATCTCCCACTTTCCAGAGAAACCATTCAACTACCGCCCCTTAAAAACGTGCAGTGTTCACTGGAAATCTTGGGATAGGGGCAACGGTTGGACTAAGGGATTGGTCCGATTTTTGTGGTTCCATAAAACGACTAAACGACACAAACTTTATTTTATTTTTTTCAGTCATACTGCGACGATCCTGATCTCGTGCTGGATCTGAAGAACCTCATTGTTCTGTTTGCAGACACACTGCAGGTACGTTTGATTTATTGCCAAACTCCACGGAGGTACATCGGTCATCTTTTACCATCCGGGGTATTTTCAAGGTGTTCTTGTACTTCGTCTACACAAAATGTTCATCCCCGAGGAAACGCGAGTCTTTTTCTTTACTTGTTTTGCTGTTTTTAGAAGTGAACAGCTGCCAGTTTCCCAACAAAGACTCTTTTTCTCAACTGGAACATTTCTAAAGGGAGAAAACCAACGTCAGATGATGAACTCCGGTGTTTATGGTTGTACGAAGGATCCTGGATGGGTTGAGGGTGATGGATGAGGAGATGGACAGGATGTGGGCGTAGACCAGGCGGTAGAAAGACCGGAGACAAACGAGGCATATGAAAGAAGGGAAACTGATGAATGAGTGGTCTGATGCCCACAAGTCATTCATGTGAAGTGATGAGAAGCTGCTGGATCGATGAATTCATGTTTTTATTGGCTTCCATGTTCCCCAGTAAGATGGAGCTCTGCAGATACAAGTTTAATATTCGGGCTGTTTTGAATCCAAAGTGACTTAATTTCCTTCATGCTGACTTTAAATTGTCCGTCACTTTCCGCCCTCTGTGTTGGCTAAAATAAATGTTTTTGGGGAAAAAATAAGCTCTTGATGAATTTTAGACTGGATTTATTAGTTCATTTACAAATGTGACCCATCACATCGAACAAAGGATGAAGTCTGATTTGGTCAAACTCAACTCGGCACATTTTCAGAAGTCTTACATTTCGTTCCCCGTCGCGGAGCAAGGAATTGGAAATATCTTCCATCCATTCTTACATGTTGTGAGCATAACTTGACAATTAAATGAGGTACAGAGTTCCATTTTGGTGTGGCTACATCTATGTGCGAGAAACGTTCCTTTTGAAAACGAGGTTGGCCACTTCAAAATCCATAGGTAGTCCTCACTGCTGTTTCAAACCAATCTCCTGTTGGAATCTCAAACGGGCTTTTAATACATGCAACCAGAGCACACTCTTCCAAAACAATCATGTATAACAATCAAATGTGTTAGGCCAGATGGCCAACTTGCTACTCACAGAAACAGCCTGAGGACATAAACAGGACTGTCCTCAGGCTGTTGTGGGTTGGGTTACACCTCAGAAATGGGATTCACCTACAATTGATAAGAAAATGGGATTTGAGTTTGTAGTATTGGATATTCAGGTT